ACAACCAACAACAACTGACCATTAACACACATGATGACATAACCTAGAAACCAACCCATTTATGGAAGTGTCCAAAGTAAATAAGTTTACAAGATTGTAAACAGGGAACCAGAAATATCAATTGACAAATGAAGACAACTACAAACCAAAAAGGGGGAAATAGGTATAGTTACAGAACTTTTTAATGGTAGGGAAGTGAAGACAACTGTAAGATAGAACAGACTGTTCTAAACTTGGGAAGCAATTGTAAATCACAGGGTATCCTCAAAGAAAAATGATAACTTTTCACATCAAAATGAAAAAGAAGACCAGTACTAACCTCAAAGAAAAATGATAAACCTTCACATCAAAATAAAAAAGAGGACCAGCACAAATATTTATCAAATTCTAAAAGAATAGCAACAAAGGAAGTGATAACACAATTCATAAACAAAATGAGCTCAGCATAGAAAATTATATGGAGCAAAGAAATCAACACCATAAAAAAGCACATAACAAAAATGACAGCAACAAATTCATAATTATATTCCTGGCAAGGGATTTATATCTAAGATTTATAGAAAACTCCAATGCCTCAACACCATAGGAATTAACAATCCAATTTAAAAATGGGCAAAAGACATGAATAGACACTTCACCAAGGAGGATATTCAGGTGCCCAGCAAATACATGAAGAGATGCTCATAATCATTGGCCATCAGAGAGATGCAAATCAAAACAACAGTGAAATACCATCTCACCCCAGCACTGATGTCAAGGTTCAACGAGACAGAAAATAACAAATGCTGGTGGGGATGTGGAGAGATTGGGACTCTCATACACTGCTGGGGGACTGTGAAGTGATAAAACCACTGTGGAAAGCAATATGGTGATTCCTTAGAAAACTGAAATTGGAGATACCATTTGACCCAGCAATCCCATTACTAGCTATATATCCTAAAGAAGTGAGAACCAGGACAGGAACAGATAACATGCACACTCACGTTCATCGCAGCACTATTTAAATAGCAAAAAGATGGACGTAACTTATGTGCCCATCAGCAGAAGAGTGGATGACCAAACTGTGGTACATACACATGCTGGAATGCTATGCAACACAAAAGAATAATGTAGAGTCTGCAAAACACCGCATAATATGGATGAACTTGAAGGACATTATGCTGAGTGAAAACAGTCAATCGCAGAAGGACAAATATAGTATTAGTTCATTGTTGTGGAGAGTCAAGGAAAGGTTTATATATGGAGGGAAACTTTCTTTCTTGGTTACCAGGGATGGGAGGGGAGGGGAGAGAACATTGCAAAAAAATAAATAAATAAAAATATGCATTGACCTATGTCACTTTAGTTTTGTGTATTTCACTGTACATAAATTATATTTCAATAAAATGAGTTTTTTAAAAAAAAAAAAAAAAAAAAAAAGACCAGTAAAAATACTTAGCAAATACTAAAACAGTAGCAATGAGCTGTTGTTGTTAAGTGCCGTTGAGTCGGACCCAACTCATAGCAACCCCTCCTTGGGTTTCCGAAGGGGTATCACTACGGAAGTAGATTGCCCAACCTTCCTTCCGAGGAGTGGCTGGTGGGTTTGAACTGCCAGCCTTCTGGTTAGCAGTCAAGTACATGAGGCACTATGCTACCAGAGCTCCTAAAACAATGGCAGTAACAGAAGTGGTAACTTGATTAATAAACAAAATGAGCTCAGCACTGAAAATTATATGAAACAAAGAAATCGACACCATGAAAAAGCACATAGCAAAATGATAGCAACAAATTCATTACTTGTTATAATTACATATGTGACAAGGAACTTCTCTGTAAAATTAATAGAAAACTCCAACACCTCAACAACAAAAAGATTAACAGTCCAATTAAAAAATGGGCAGACGACATGAATGGACACTTCACCAAAGAGGATATTCAGCCATCCAGCAAATACATGAAGAAATGCTCATGATCATTAGCCATCAGAAAGATGGAAATCGAAACAACAATGAGATACCATCTCAACTCAGCACTAATGGCAAAGTTCAAGAAGACAGAAAATAACAGATGCTGGCGAGGATGTGGAGAGATTGGGACTCTCATCCACTGCTGGTGGGACTGTAAAATGATCAACCACTGTGGAAAACAGTATGGAGATTCCTTAAAAAGATGGAATTAGAAATAGCTTTTGACCCAGTAATCTCATTACTAGGTATATATCCTAAAGAAGTGAGAGCCAGGACAAGAACAGATATATGCACACCCATGTTCATCATAGCACTATTTCCGATAGCAAAATAATGGAAACAACCTATGTGCCCATCAGCAGAAGAATGGATGACCAAACTGGTACATAACACAGAGGAATACTATGTAACCCTAAAGAATAATGTAGGAGGGGAGGGGAGGGAATAGATCACACTTAGATAGGTAGAGGTAAGTATTGATTTGGGTGAATAGAAGGGCAGTGTACCAAATATGAGTGATCAAAATGGTGGCATTGAGGAAGAGGATGACATAGAGGGGTACATGGGAAGTACAAATAACAAAGATGAACCCTTTTGCACATACAATACTGCATTGTCAGCAAAGGCAAACATGAGTATATGGGTGGATAGATGGGTGGACAGGTCTTTGAAGTGGGAAGTGTACCCAAGACCATGTATAGAGTTGGCAGATAATGGTCCTATTAGTGTATTTGTATGTTCTGTAAGAATTCCCATCTGTATAGTAGAGCTGACAAGAGACAAGGTTGTAGTCACTTCTTGGTCACACCCAACTACCCAGAGGGACTGAGTAGTTGAACTGGTGGGCTCGGACAGTAGTCACAGGGGATATCAAGCTCAATTGGCATAGCATACTACACAAAATATTGTCCCACCTCCTACTTTGGTGAGTAGCGATTGGGACCTTAAAAACTTGTAAGCAGTCATCTAGATGCAATGATGGGTCTCTTGTCCAGAGCAAGAAGAATGAAGAAAACCAAAGATTCATGGAAAGAATTAGTCCTAGTGACTGATACACCATGTGATCCACAGCCTATATGAAGAACTAGATAGTGCCCGGCTACTACTGTCAACTTATTGGAGGGGGATCTATGTAGGAGTTCCTGGATAGAGAGGGAGAACAATGTGGAACAAAACTCAAAAACATTTGGGGGGGGGGGGACCAGGTTTTCTGGTCTGATCGAGACTGGTGGAATCCCTGAGAAATGGCCCCTAGCTGCCCTTCAAGTCTGGAATTGAACCCACACCTGTAGCTTCCAGCCCAACAAAAGACAGGCATATGTATTGAACATTTACCTGAAGTAGATATACTGCTTGGAGAGATCAATTATGGGAGAAAGAAGGGCTGTTTATGCACAGGGAGACAGCTCAGGGACAGGAGTGCATGGAGGGATGGACACAGGGAAGAGGTAACTCTTGGGAGGAAGTGAGAGGGAAGCTGTTGCACTGGGGTAAATTGTAGTCAGTATCATGAGACAAAGTATATGTGAATGGTTGTATGGAAAGTGAATTTGCTCTGTTAATTTTCACCCAAATCACAATTAAAAAAAAATAATAATAAAGAATAGTGTAGAATCTGCAAAACACCGCATAATATGGGTGAACTTGGCAGACCTTATGCTGTGTGAAATAAGTCAATCACAGAAGGACAAACATAGTATTAGTTTATTATTGTAAAAAGTCAAGGAAAGGTTTATTTATGGAAGGCAACTTTCTTGGTTACCAGGGGGTGGGAGGGGAGGGAACACTGCAAAAAAAAAAAAAAAAAAAAATTCATTGACCCATGTCACTTTAGTTTTATGTATTTCACTGTATATAAATTATATTTCAATAAAATGTATTTTTTAAAAAAAGATGAAAGTATACATACCTTAAAAAAAAAAAGAATCTCACTGCCATTGAGTGGATTCCAACTCATAGTGATTCCCTTTGGGTTTTGAAGTGGTAAACCTTTACAGAAGTAGATTATCCCATCTTCCTTCCACAGAGCAGCTGGTGGATTTGAACGGCCAACCTCTGGTTAGCAGTCAAATGCCTTAGGCCACCATTCCACCAGAGCTCCTTATCGTAACATAAAGGAAATATAACATTTATCTAATTCATATTCCCACTTTGCTCTTTTCCTGAGCTTTCATAAGTTCATTAAATGGAATGATGATGAATGGAATCCCCTTCATTATTTAAAAAGGTATCTTTTTCCCTCTCTTTTAGAAACTTATTTAGTAGAATTTGTGCACATGAGGTTTCTCTTTTATCAATCTCCATTTTTCCTGTTGAAGATTCACTGTTCTGTTGCCTATAATCATTGAGCTGCAATCTATAAAATAGTATGCTAATATCTAAAATAGTGTTTATCTCATGTTTTAAACAGTGGAACATTTGAATGGCATTTGTCCGATTAGTGGTATGATTTAATATTCATTAACTATATTAAGATAAAGTAAATCTTGTTTTGTTATAATAAAATAGTTGTGTAAAAACTAAAATCAAGGAGTTTGGAATGATCTTCCAGTTCAGTGAATTTCAGACTTTTAATAGTAGATCCCCTTCATTAAATGGACTTTTCTATAAAATGCCAGTATCTAAATGCCATTTGTGATTGAAGCATCTGGGAGAGACTTGATAATATACCACTCACCTTTAAGTTTTTCCTCCTGGTTATACCACCATGGGAACAGATACCTTGTCTGCCCCGTTTCTCTTCAGTACTTTACTTAGCACCTGACACAGAGCAGATAATAAATGTAAGTTGAATGGGAAGCTGGATAGAAGATAGGCAGGGCCAGAACTAGAAGTTGTTCCTTGATTCTTAGTTGGCTGTTTTTGTTACTAGTCCATATTACCATTAAGCTCTATCCCCTGCTGCCTTTTAAAAATCATAACATTTGCACATCTCTATTTTGGGGAGTCATGTTATCACTCTGGATATCAGGTTGTACTTCTTTAAAATGACGATGATAAAATATGTCTCTAAATTTTCTTTAAAACTAAGCTAACAAATATTGTCCACAGAAGATAAGGATACAGAAGAGGAGGAAGGTGGGCACTCCCATGGCAGTGCAGAATCACATGAAAGCAAAGGTATAGGCCTAGATGAAAGTGAACTTGATTCTGAGGCCGAACTCATGAAAAGCATGGGGCTGCCACTTCAGTTTGGTGGAATATCTGCACATAAGAATTTTGAGGTAAGTATTAATTTACTTTATGTTTCCTATTTCTTAATGTTCTTCATAAAATATAATTAATTATGTTTTATCCCAAATCTAATGTATGTTGTGAATTAGACCATTCTACTTCTTTTCAAATGTGTACATTTATAAATTAACCAAAATTCTAAGTTGTGATATGCCCCATGTGTGTCTTTTCCACTTGGAAACAGACAGTGAAATACACTTGTTCTGTAACTAAAACCCTAGGGAAGGTGTGAGGATATTTTGTTTATTTTAATGTCAAAGTAGATTTGGATTCTACTTTCTCTTAAAGTTCAAGAAGTGCATGTTGTATTCAAGTTATCATTTGTCTGATTTAGGTGTCTATGAATGCTAGAAATAAAATAAAAAAGAAAAGGAAAAAACATCAAAAGAAGTACTTTGATGAAGTTATGAGAGAATCTTGGAGAAAAGAATATGATGAAGATGACATTTTGGCTTCAGAAGATCCATCTTCAGTCGAAAAGTATGAGAACATCAGAACATGTAAACTTCAAAGCAAAAGGGACATTGAAACTGAAAATCTTCCTACTGAAAATGCATTATCTCCAAAGCTAGAAATTACAGAAAAATGGGAAAAGTATTGGAATGAATATGGAGGAAGACTACTATGGCAAAGCTGGCAAGAAAAACATTCAGATCAAACACTATCATCTGAACCTTGGAACTTTCCTGATACAAAGGAAGAATGGGAACAACATTATAGTCAACTCTATTGGTATTATTTGGAACAGTTTCAATATTGGGAAGCTCAGGGTTGGACTTTTGATGCCTTACAAAGCTGTCGTACAGATACTTGTGAATCTAAAATAGAAGTTGACAATAACAAAGAGGAAAATTGCATGAGAGTAGAGTTAATTTCTTTTCCATCTTCATCTGTTGGTCATGAAAGCTCCAGTTCCAGTGATAAGGATTATAACGAAATACTTGATAGAATTCATAATATAACTCTGAAATCAGAAGAAGTAGAACAAAGCCAGTTAGAGTCTTCTGTAAATTACGATGATCATCAGGAGCTAAGTGAAGTTAGTGGAAAAGAATGCCCTGCTTCTGGTCGAAGTGAACCATGTAATGGAGGAACCAAGAAAAGAAATGTGTCTAGGAATAGAAACACAGACCTACCATCTCAGGGTAAGTTTAGTCAAGACTTACTTGTTTAAATAATGGATACCTTTTTGATAGAATTAATGCCAACTACATTGTATAGTGATGAAATAGTATAGTAATGAAATGGTTCACTCTATCTTGTTTTTATATCACAGGTTGTGTATTACCCTTTTATATTAACAAAGAATATTTGCATGGATTTATAAATCTAAGGTATCTTTGCTTCTTACACCTTGGTGAGCAAAACCAAATCAAACCTACTGCTATTGAGTCAGTTCTGATTTACAGTGACCCCCCATAGTGTTTCCAAAGCTGTAAATCTTTACGGAAGCAGACGGCTGCATCTTTCTTCCATGGAGCAGCTAGTGGTTTTGAATCTCTGACCTTTTGCTTAACAGCTGAACACCTTACCACGGTGCTACTAGTGTTCCTTCCATGGTGACCAGTGAAGTAAAATTTAGAAATTCCTTGAGAAATCTTATTTAGAGTAAACTTGGAACTTCAAGGTTCTTCAGAGCAAATGAGTTTATAAGAAACAGAGTTAGAGAGTGGTTGGGAGCAGAAGTTTGGCCTGAGGCAAACTTCGTTGGAGTCATATGTGGAATTCATTTAAGACAAGTAAAGTCTTGCTTTATAAAGAATCTCAAGACAGCATGATATTTATAACTAGAAGGATTTCATTTAGGTCTCAGTAATTAAGTAAAGATAAGAAATTTGGTTGGTTCCTGAATAAGTGATTTTTAAAAAAATTACTCTGTAGAGTGGTACCATTGTCAGGAGTAAGGAAAACAGAACAACGGAATAAGCATACTGCTGCTGGGGAGAGGCGTTACCACTAACTCGTGGCACCACGAAATGGGAGAGGAGGAAAGTACTATACCTTTTGAATATCCTAATTTGTTGTTGTTGTTATGTGCCGTCGAGTCGGCCCCGACTCATAGCGACCCCTCCTTGGGTTTCCGAGGCAGTATGACTACGGAAGTAGGATTGCCC